GTGTGTCAGCCACAATATGAGTACCTCAAGACATATCTAACTGTTGTAACCTTGTATGAGTTATCATTGTAACTTAATGGTACCTTGCAATCTTGCAAAGACAACTGGGAAATATACATGGAGTGACTTTCACATGTGTTCCAAGCTAATAATGTGACTGATAATGATCAGAAAAGAACTATTTTACTCAGTGAAATGGGTAAAAAGTCATATACACTACTAGAAATTTATGTGCCCTAAAGAAACCAGGCGATAAATCATACTATTCCCTGGTAAAGTTAATGAGAAGTTACATACATCAAACCCCCTCAATTATTGTTGAAAGACTCAGATTTCATAAACATGACAGACAGTCAGGTGAAAGTGTGACAGCGTATTCCTCAGAGCTAATGCATCTTGCTATAGTCCAGGCAAAATAAGGTTTCACTTGGAACAAATTGCAACAGAATTTAATCCACCACAATGCATTTCTACAAGAATCCCCCAAACAACATACTGAAAGTCCCAAGCAATCCCAGTTTGGGAAATATGTCTAATTTGCATAATCCAATATGGCCACCAATTATCAATATATCTTCCATATTTCAGATGAGGTTCAATGTTTTGATGAAAAAAGCATGTGTTGAATTGTGAAATTGCCATATTATGTTTCTAAAATCATATTCACGACAACTAAACGTTTTCGACTATTGACAAATCTACAAAAATTCAAGATGGCCGACAAGTTTCCTATATATGAGGTTAGACTGTTGAATCTTTTGACTCTAAAACAGTGTGCTTGGACCTATATGTATAATTATAACTTTGCACACTAACTCACTGAAGTATAGTTAACACTTTTAGATAAGAAACTCCATCACCAGAGCCCCTTTGAGGCCATAAATTCCAAGATGGCCACCAAGAGATTGATGGCTAGACATAGAATATCAATCCACTGTTGGTCTCTGATGATATATTTCAGTGATTTGAACTTCTACATTGGGGTCAACAGACCCAAGGATGCATGTAGAATGCTTAATCGTTTGCATAAATTCAATACAACCACCAAATATCAATACTTATCTCTTAAATGAGATGTTTTGGCAAGCATATATATAAATATTAATTGGTACTGTCTGTATCTACTTATTACCATGACAGTAAACATTATAACAAGTTTTGTTTTCATTCATGCAAATACTTGTAGGGAACAAGTATGACCTCATGATGTCTTCTCCAAATGTAACAAAAAACAGTTTTTTCTCAAGTCGATGAGTTATCTCTCTTGTAGTAAATTTGCAGAAATCCAATATAACCACCAAATACCAATATTTGCATATAAATCTGAAAAGGTTTGATCCACTGCTCATTCAGTTACATGACTGTGTTATTCATGAACATTTTTACGTGAAAATAGTGGCAAAGTTGTCATGGTGAATGCTGTAGCTAGATGTTGCAAGGTCATTATACCTCGACACAACACCCCTTATGTCTACTACCAGATAATGGAGTAGAAAGGGTTCAATATGAATCCATTAAAGTGGGGATGGCACATGATAGATGGACTTAACAATACAACAGATCAGCTTCCTGCACCTTCAGCACTCCAGGATATAATCTGCTGTAATTTAGTGAGTGAGTGAGTGAGTTAGATTTAACGCCGCTTTTAACAGTATTCCAGTTATATCATGGCGTGTCAGCTTAATGTGGGAGGAAAGCCCGAAGTGATGCAGGTCTCAGACGTTTACCACTTCGGTGAAACCCACGAGCACGGGTATGGTGCTGACAAACCTAGAAACATAATTGGGGCGAACCGGGATTCGAACTCACAGCCATAGGTTTCTGGCGTGCCCAAGGGACGCAACTCTGCACAGCGAATCGCGGCACCGTAGACGACTGGGCCACCCGTGCCCCCCTGCTGTAATTTAAAAAAAGACTGTAACACACAAACATGCACTTGCCGGAATATGGTCTCACTTGCAGTACTGTGTGTGGGGAATGCCATGGTACAAGTTGTACCAAGAAACAGTTACCAGACTTCTCAGAGGATGACAAACCTGTTGAGACTTTCGAGGTACATGTATATAATGACCCTGCAAGGTCAAGCTAGAGCATTCACCATGACAACTATTTTACTATTCAACTGTTCATCCCTTACTTAAATGTTCATGAATCATACAATCATGTGATTGAATGAGAAGTGGATAAAAAAATTCAAATATTTATTCAAATATTGGTGTTTGGTGGTTATATTGGATTCCTGCAAATTTACTACAAGGGAGATAACTCATCGACTTCTTGTGTAACAACTGGTTTGGGTTAATTCTGAGAGGATCTCATGGGGGTTTCCATCAAGTATGTACATGAATGAAAACACATTTGTTATCGTGTTTATTGTTGTGTTAATAAGTGGATGCAATAAATAATAATCAATATTGATATTAAACTCGCCAAAACATCTCATTCAAGAGATAAATATTGATATTTGTTGGTTGTATTGAATTTGAGCATTTTACATGCATCCTTGGGTCTGTTGACCCCAATGTAGAAGTTCAAATCACTGAAATATATCATCAGAGTCAAAAGATACAACAGTCTAACCTCATATATAGGAAACTTGTCGGCCATCCTGAAATTGTCGGCCATTTTGAATATTTGTAGATTTGTCAATAGTCGAAAATGTTCAGAAGTTGTGAATATATGTTTAGAAAGCTATATCCCAAAACTACCCTAGCTTTTTTTCATCAAAATATTGAACCTCATCTGACACATGGAAGACACATTAATAATTGGTGGCCATATTTAATTATGCAAATTAGAGATGTTTCCCAAACTGGGATTGCTTGGGACTTTTAGTGTGTTGCTTTTTTAGACCTTGTAGAAATGCATTGTGGTGAAATAAATTCTGTTGCAATTTGTTCCAAGTTGAGTGAAAAAATGGCCTAGATTGCCTGGACTACTACTACTAGTACATGTGATTTTGGTGCAACACTAGATAGCGCTCTCAGGGACCGAATAGTGTGTGGCATAAACAATGATGCAATTCAAAGACGACTGTTATCAGAAAAAGACTCTGGGTCTTGAGAAAGCTCTTGCCATAGAACAGAGAATGGAACTAGCAGATATTAAATGTCAAAGACATTAAGGGGGAAGGGAAATCTACTGGTAGTGCGTAGACAATTAGATCATATCCGGAACAAATCTGATGCCAGTGAAGATAGTCCACAGGTAATTGTACCTGCATCACTTGAAATAAAGACCTGAGCACCTTGAAGGAATGAGCAATACATTACCACATTCGTCACCACTCGCCCCTTTCCGTAACCTGCAAGAAGACTTGTCCCCCTCTCGATGAATGTTATGTGCGAAAATATGACAAACCAATCAGAATGCGCGTATGATTTCAAGTTCTTTGTCAAATAATCCCTCAGAAATAAATTTAGATTTTACATATGTCTTGCATCTAAAAATATACCCAAGACACAGTTATATGTGTTCAATCATACTGTATAATTCCGCACGATGTCCTTTAAATTGCATCTGAAATATATATAATATATGGGGATATATATGTGATCCATTCACAACGAGTTGAAAATTGTTTTAGGTATGCCCGTTTGCACTAAGACGGAACCTAGTCGCAAAAATGACCATGAGAGGGGCACGAGTCGCTATTCTGCTTGTCCCGGAATAACACGAGTTGGTCACGAATGTACATTACCACCAATTTCACAGCCAATAGTGGTCAACCAGCCCGTGGAACTTAACACAGTTGTCTCCAAAGACACAGAACCAGTTGTTCCAGTCATCGAACTGCGTCGTTCTGAACGAGTGCAGAGGATGCCGAATAAATTTGATTTGTAATCGCGTGACTATTTTGCAGTTTAAGGTGAACATTATTCTACAAGGATAGATGATTTTATGTTAATGTTCTTATCACTTCAAGTTTTTAAAAGTTAAATGTTCTGAGAAATGTCCAACTGAGCGGGAGGAGTGTTGTAACCTTGTATGAGTCATCATCGTAAATTAATTGTCCCTTGCTATCTCACGCAATAAGACCTCACCAATGCATGTTGGGTAACGTAGTGAGACGCTGGTTATGGCGGATGTTGTATTGACGCTCTGAAGTAAACAACTATGTGGAACTACCAGACATGTCCACATATGGGATTCCGATCCCAGGTTACCACACTAACAACTGGCCACACTACAATGTAATTGCTTTTAGATGTTTGTTTGTTTGTTGTTTAATGCATTACTCAGCAATATTCCAGCCATATGATGGTGATCTCTAAATAATCGAGTCTGGACCAGACAATCCAGTGATTGACATCAAGAGCACATGGTAAACAAGCACACAAACCTATTGCTGCCATAACATAAAACACGAGATGCACAGTACATCAGTGCGCTTGTAAAGGGAAGTAACTGCACGCTATATTGGATTGTGTTGTTTTTAAGTATTGTAGCATTTCACTGCCGGGGTCGTGTGTTCGAGACGCAGAATATTTAAGTATTTCTTTTTTGTGAAAATGGAAATAATTGTTTGTTTGTTGTTTGTTGTTCAATGCCACACTCAGCAATATTTCAACCATATGACGGCAGTCTGTAAATAATCGAGTCTGAACCAGACAATCCAGTGATTGACATCATGAGCATCGATGCACACAATTGGGATACGATGACATGCACGAACCAGGTCAGCGAGCCTGACAACCAAGAATATTTAATTTTTAACCTTTTTAATGTTTTTTTTAATGGTTATTTTTTAATCTTTTTAAATTTATTTTTTTTAGTTGTCAATATTTATTATTTAGATTAGTACTATCGCGATATGGCTGAAATATTGCCAGTGCGATGTTAAAAATATGTCACTCTTTCAAACATACCCACCACCATCTTTGTAACATTTTTAGATATTTTTATTTATTTATATTTTTTTTAATCTTTTATTTATTTTATTGTTATTTTTTTGTATTTTTTTAGTATTTATTAAAAGTGGTCAATTTTGTTAAAAAATGCTAAGAATGCCCACCTCCCATGGCCCACTGCTGCTGCACTGTTGGCTGACGGTTTCTCAGCGATCTTCTCTGAAAAACAAAAAGGTAGTTTTAAGGCTTTGAAAGTAAAAAATATGTAATCATAATGATTTTTTTAATGACTTTTTCAAATTAATATATACCAACATAATATAATACCAATTCATTAATATTTGATCAAGTCATTGTCAGAACACCAGATCCAATCAGTTTTATTCATGTCATGTGGCCTTTATCTCATCTTGACTGCCTCCGTGGTCTAGTGGTAAAGCGTCTGCCCGGAGAGCGGAAGGTCCGGGGTTCGATCCCCGGCCACGTCATACCAAAAGACGTTAAAAGATGGTACTTGTTGTTACCCATTAAGGGGCTAAAACAAGGACTGGTCGGCTCGGAGTCAGTATACTGTGTCTGAGTGGGGTATTCATGTTAAACTGCGGCATGGTATCTCAGTGGGCTAGCACTATAAATCGGCATCAGTCCGGACTAGTACAAGCAGTCACACACACACACACATGTGCATGCACGTCGCTATATAAGTGCAATAATCTTGGACGTGACGTTAAACTCCATTTCACCTTTATCTCATCTGATTTGGCTGGTTATCAAATCCTGTTTATCAAAGGATCTAACTAGTTTTTTGACACTCCATGATGTCATCCTGTTGATCTTCAAAGTTCTTCCCCTTATCAATACTTCACGGGTTTGTATAAACTAGGATGCATGGGTGGCCCAGTGGTCTTAGGCGCCACAATTCGCTGGACCGAGTTGCGTCCCTTGGATATGCCAGAAAGCTATATCATTGGTTCAGATCCCGGTTGGCCCTGCATATGTTTCTTGGTTTGTCAGCACTATGCCCGTGCTTGTGGGTATGCCATGATGACACTCAGTGCTATGACTGGAATACTGTTCAAATCAGCGTTGAACCTAACTTACTCACTGTATAAACTTTGTTGTTAGAACGTAGTGTACAGATACATGTATATACCTGTGACAAATCCACAATGCTTTTCCTGAACAATTGAGTGAGTTGGGTTTAACGCCGCTTTTAACAATATTCCAGTTATATCGGGCGTGTCAGCTTAATGTGGGAGGAAAGCCTGAAGTGATGCAGGTCTCAGACGTTTACCACTTCGGTGAAACCCACGAGCACGGGAATGGTGCTGACAAACCTAGAAACATAATCGGGGCGAACCGGGATTCGAACCCACAATCATAGGTTTCTGGCGTGCCCAAGGGACGCAACTCTGCATAGCGAATCGCGGCGCCTTAGACGAATGGGCCACCCGTGCCCCCTTTTCCTGAACAAGTTTCAGGGGAAACTCTATAGTAGTGACTTGGCCATAGTACCCTGACAGCTGCTGAATTGAGTCTTATTTAAAAATACATATTGAATATTATATAAATAATATAGAATATTGACTTATTCTACTCATCCATCCCATGTCATCCCTGTACTTACTATAAACGCAAACACAAACGCAAATTCTATTTCATTATTGATTCTTAGGAACATCTGACGACATCCTGCATATTAGATGAGCCACTAGAGCAAATGGGACAAGCGGCCTTTGTGGAAAGTTGGTAGACAGCAGAAAAAAGTGTCTATAAACATATTATAAGCTAGCTAAGTTTGACTTCCATCAGGTTATAACTAAAATGGCACCAGCAAATGGCACGGATCAAAAACAGTACCAAAATGGTGAAATGTGCATCATCACCTTAAAACATGTTTACATTATAATTATTTATATTTTATATAATGTGCCGTAAGTGTCATTTAGAAATCGAAGCAATCATACATTTTAATTGTAGAAAACTTCAGATACCAGGTGCTGCAGCATGAGAAATATGTGATCCATTTGGATGAAATTTTGGAAATACAAAGTGCCGTTTTTTTGCCAGATGAAATCGGTGTTATGCTGAGATGCTGATTTAGCCTGCACCCACATCCAACTACCATACACATGTCTGCATACTTCATGTTGCATGGTAGGTTGCTCAGGCTGTATCATGTCGTAATGAACACAATACCTACTGTCGGTGGTGCAGCTGGAGCTGCTGCCGGTGGAGGTGGGCCTGCTGCTGGAGCTGGTGCTGGTGCTGGTGCCGGTGCTGGTGCTGGTGCCGGAGCCGGAGCCGGAGCCGGAGCCGGAGCTGGAGGTTGATGATTGCCTTGTCTTAGGAGCCTGATTGTACGTTTGGCATTCTGAAAACAATAAAGGACTATCTAATTGGAGATATATCTCGGATATAAAACTAAGTTCCTGGAGTATGTACATTGCTAAAATTTATTTATTTTATTAAATTCAGAGGTAGCATTTGATCCACTGCAAAAATGTTTAACTAAGTATTTAAATGGTAATAATAAAATCACCCTTTGTTCAGTGAAATATACTACCAACAAAAAAAATTAATTGCAATACTGTGGTGTTGCATCTGAACCAATATCTGATGCACATAATGCATGTGCACACAGAAGTCAAAGTGTGTGTGCTTATTAGGAATTCACAATTACTTATGCAATTGTGGGTTGGGGTTGGGATTGGGGTTGGGGTTGGGAGTGGGGCTTGGGGTGGTGGGAGTTAATATCCCAAGTTGCCCAAATGTTTGACAAATCAATATAATATGAGTGGCTCATCACTGAAAAATCAGTGATGGCACCATATGTGAGAGAAACCATTTAAACACTTCCATGTTTCCATGGATACATATTAGTAAGCTTGCTTGACAGTTTGAATCTCTCTGGTGATTAACATTCTTCATTAACCTACACTATCGTAACAGTTCTTTCACTGCCAAGTAGTCTGTCAGTTAAAGTGCTGACAAAGGCAAGGGTTAGGAGAGGTGAAATGGGGTTTAAAATAACATCACATGGTGGATTTTTGCACTTATATAGCCACAAGCATGCGTGAGAACGAGAGTGTGAATTTATCTGCTTATACTAGTCTAGAGTAATGTTGGTTTATTGTGTAAGCCCACTGACCATGTCACAGTTTAGCATGGATATCCCACTCAGACACAGATACCGACTCCGAGCAGGCCATCGTTAAATGCCTCTTACAAACGTGTCCGGGAATCAAACCCCTGACCATTCACTCATTGGTCAGAAGCTCTATCCAGTAGATCATGTAGTCAGTCCAACAAAGGCAAGGGGGACATGGTGTTAGTTTGCAATTCTTTTAAGGCAATGGTGGTGAGGGTGTTGTTAGCTACAAGTGATTATACATACTATTAGTCGTCTTCTTAGTAGACTACTCTCCAGCTGGCATCCTTCATAGGCGCCAGCTAGGAGAGCAAAGTCATCCTGTAACGAGAGAATAAAGTCATTATGTAAGGGTGAGTTTATCCAGGCCTTCGTAACACTGATATTTTCAAGCTTGATGCAAGTTTGTCCTATCCAAGACATGCAGATCCAGATGATAGCATACAGTAATAATATCTCAGTTTTGTTACGATAAATACCATGGACTCATTCACAGCAACAGCTTCATTTTCAATCCTATTGGATTGTTTACAGAATATAGCTGGAATATTGCTGAGTGCAGCATTAAACAAAAAACAAACAAACAAACTGGAGCTTTTACTCCACCCAATAGAGTGAGTGATTGAGTGAGTTAATATTTAACGTAGCATCGGCATTATTTCAGCCATATAGCGATGAGACCAAGTTGATATATACACAATTTATTCATGAATATAAAGTTATATTTAAAGACAATTTATCAAACATATTTGGGCATAACAACATAATTTATATCACGGGCTATTCGACTTTCCGAAAAGTGTTGTTATCTCCCTTTGCAAAGAAAATTAGAGTGATGTCCCCTTTTGACGTTCACTTCCACCGAGTAAACCTTCAAAATGGCGGCAAATAAAAATATTGAGGTTGATGATGAATTCCATCAAATGACAGTTAAAGAATTGCGTGAATACCTATGGGAACGAAATCAAAAGGTGACTGGGGTAAGAGCACAAGTTTTAGCGCGAGCAAGAGGGGCGAAGGCACTTCGTTTGGATGCAACCACCTTAGTACAACCCAGCAAAGGCGTTATATCTATGCAACGGAAGCTCGTCACACCCAGCAGATATCGAATGCCAGACCCCACTACATTAATGATTGGATGGAACGATGCTGTTGAATCATTACCGGAATTCTCAGAGAAGGAAATCTACAATTATATGGTACTTAGCAACCATAGGACTTCAGACACGAAGCCCATGATGGCTAAACGACAAATGAAGGCAGTGGTGTTTAACCAAGATAGACATGTTCACAGCGTAGCTCTACACGATATCCATCACGACTGTGACCATATGTTTGCCAGATCCCGTGTCATACCATCACTACCAACAGCGGATCCAAGGAAAAGCCCTGATCACGACGTTTGGACAAGTCTCTCAAAAGTAACAGGTCGTGTTCATTCAGCAAATTGTACTTGTGCAGCCGATAAGTAGACTTTGCATTTATATAACTACAGTCGTGTCATCTATATCTAGATCGCTGTTTTTTTTACAAACAAAACGTTTAAAAACCTTTTCAAAGAAAATATGTTCCAAATATTAAGTTTGATCAACAGATATGTAAATTATTAATTCCAAATAACAGCAAAGTAATTGATACATTTCAATATCTCTTCCTTTGAGGGACCTCTCATTCACTTTAGTTAATTTAAATAAATAAACAGATTATTGATATTGTTGCTTATTTATATGTGACATCTTTAGCTGATTACATTAAAAATAATTATTATTTAGGGTGAAATAGAGGAAACATGACTGTGTCATGTTATATGCATTTAATTGTTATTTCATAATATTAAAGCTAGAGTCCAAATAATATTAATAAATATAACTAATTTTGTTTTTGCAGTGCCGGGGAGGCTTGTAATCATGTATCAGCCCTGCTTCATGCCCTTGCAGACATTAGTCAGAAGAAAAAGGATGGTTTGCTTTCATGCACATCAGCTGAGTGCAAGTGGAAAATTCCCAGAAAAAGGAAGTTGGATCCTATGAAATCGGATGACTTGAACCTGATGTCAAGTGGCAGGAAGAGTCAACAAAAAGGTACTGGGACTACACAAGGTACTGTCGGAATACAGAATGGAACAATCAACAAAAGACCAATGTGTCCCAACAGCAACATGCTGCAGACAACAATAAATCTCACAAGATTTAATAAGAAGTTAATTGGTCATGAAACAAAAAGTAAATGTGGATATGTTGTTAATACAACTACTGTTACTCAAGCTCCTGAACCTATGCCAGAACTTCCAAAAATACCATGCATTGATCGTTGTATTCCTGACTATGTTGATATTAAATGGGCAACCTGTCAAACTACCTTTCAAAGCTTGTCGTTGGGACTTGCTTACTGGAATGACGTGTAGAGATACTATTCTTTCACCGACTATCTTTCCCCTAAAATTGCTACAAATACAGCAGTATACCTTCCCCATTTTGACAGCTTCGAAGCAGCGCACTGTTTTCGACGGAAGTTGACAGTACTCGGCGGAAGTTCATCCAACCAATTGAAGAGTTCCAACTCAAGACGGATAACTCTCATTGAACTTGACTTTTCGGAAAGTCGAATAGGCAACCAGTGACCAAAGCTTGGCCACCTCACTGGGGATCATGGGGACATGTGGGGACCGTGCCACTCTGCTTCCTGCACGATATCCCAGCAGGATTATTGCATCACTTTAGCCACTGGTGGTGGTGCTCAATACTAGCCAATAATACAAAATACTCAGTAATGAGTTGGCTTGAAACACTGGTTGATGATAGTTACAGCGATTATGATAGGATAACATGTCACACAGGGTGACAATAATTTTATGGAACTTCAACATCCTGGACAGAGCTATCATGGTATAACATTTATACTAAGTTTTCCTATAATAATTAGATCCACATCAAGTGCTTTTATGACTTATCATGGTGTAATATTTATACATCATTTCATATAATTATAGTTTAGCAAGTAATACTTATCATCAGGTAAAATGCATATTTAAAATATCAGTAGTTTCAGTTATAGCTTTTTAGATAGATGCTCGCCTAAGGTAATGGGAGTGCATCTAGACATACTACATACTGTATTCAATAAGACAAGAGTTACGTCTACATAGTTTAATAGATTTGAAGCTTTTAGATAAATGCTAGCCTAAGGTATCAAGATCCCATCTCCCAGACAAAAGATATGTCTACATAGTCTTATAGATTACCTTGAACTATTTTATTTAAGTAAATCTGTCATAACCTATATTAGAATAACATTCAGCAATTTAGACTCATTAAGGATTAGCCCCCATACAAGCTCGTCTATAGTGCATTAAGGATTAGCCCCAACACAACCTCGTCTACAGTGACACCATAATCTCTTTCCAAAGCATCCAGTAAATATGTCAACAAGATTAGTGCCAGTCCAACAGGATTAACAGGATTAAGTATTCCTCTCTGTCTAAGCCATCAATTTAGCATAGGGCACAACCAATCGTGTATCAACCAATCCTATTCCTTTTTATTGTTCAAATTTTTGTTAAATACATACTGTAGCTAAGTTTCAGGAGAGAAGGGGTTTGACTCTCTTACCCAGCAGACCTCTCTCCCACAGCCCAGAGTGTTGTACCGACTCTCTGTGGCACCCTCAGTTATTTTCTAAGTATATTGTAAATTGTTAATTGTAAATAAAATTGTGATTAGTCTCCTGTGACTCCGGCTCTTTGCTGACTAATTCCCCAAGAAAACCAGCACGCCATTTGGAAGGTATTGTTCACCCAGAACAGTTCCATGATAGAGCTTTCAATAACGTCAGTTGGTAACCAACCAACCAATTAATTATTCACCTACATATTTAATATTTATGATACAGACCACCACAGACCAGTAGTTGATAATGAGATGCCTGCTTCCATGGGAACAGAGACCTTTCAGATTTACTCTTTGGTAACGTGATCCCTTGTGATTGCAAAGTCCACACAGTCAAGCAATATATGCTTGATGGTGAACCTATAAGCGCAAGGGATACACTTGGGAGGTTTGTCCTCATCTGTCTTAAGCAGATATTCATGGGTAAACCGACTGTGGCCAATAGGACATAGTCGTAAAAGGACCTCGTCATGTCTTGACTGACAACCCAAGTAGGTATGACCGATTGTTGGTTTCAATTGGTGTCATTTATTGATTCTTACCTGGGTGTCCCACCTTTTTTGCAGTAGATCCCGAGATTAACTCTTGATGGATGGTTTGGAATCACTAAACGGGATAAGTAGTGGAAATAACGGTTTGTCAAGAGCTGCTCTAGCTGCAGCATCAGCTTTTGAGTTACCTGTTATGCCTACATGACTCGGTAACCAGCAAAAGACGATGTCACATTTGAAAGATCTTTACATAGTTCTAGGATAATAGAGTGATATGATGAGACAATTTTAAGTGCCTGAAGTCAAGACAACGAATCAGAGAAGATGATGAAATGTTTAGTTTGGGTTTGTTGTTTAATGTAGGTCAAAGCTGTGAAGATCTAACTATTATCTGGGATTCTTGAGAAGACAGCTCTGGATCCAATGATGGTGGCACTTGCAACTTTTCCACCATCCTTGGACCCATCTGTAAATATGGATCTGCGAGAATGATATTTTGATCGTAATTGGTTATATGACTCTTGATATACCACAGGATTAGTTTCAGACTTTTCTATCTTGGTTAGAGTGAGGTCTACCTCTAGCTTCACCATCTCCCAGGGAGGAGAAGACAGATCTAAGTCGGGAGGGTGATATAATATTTAGATCTATTTTAGCTGCAGTGATGTGTGGTTGACTTCTAATTCCGACTGGTGGTACCAAGTTGGACAGATTTCAAAACAGGTTTTCATATTGTGGATGGAAAACGCAATTGCATGATGGATTTGATTTATATGAATGCAATTTAGTTCTGAATTGCAGTGAAAGTTCAATTCAGCACTGTTCGAGGGAAAGTTTATCAGCCTCCACATACAAACTCCACAAGAGAGGTCCTAAAAGCTCCAAGACAGGTCCTAAAAGCTCCAAGACAGAGCCTTAGGCCTTGACGGTGTATATACGTATTGTATCTAAATTTTCTAAACTGCTTTTGCAGGCTCTACCATAAACATTGGAACCATAGTCTAGTTTGGAGGGTATTAACGATCTGTACAAGTGGAGGAGGGTTGTCTGATCCCCTCCTCACTTGGAATTTGAAATGACTTTTAACAAGTCGGGAGCCTTCAGGCACTTTGCCTTTATAGAGTAGTGTGGCCAGACCCTCAAACTGCCAACATACCCCTCCCCATAGTAGAACAGAGAAAACTTAGGTTTTCCTTATGTTTTTGTATCCAACAGACCAGAGTGAGTGAGTTTATGCTTTACGTCACATCGGCAATATTTCAGCCATATCGTGACGAGAAGTTACACAATATTTATACATATATTTAAACCAAATAAGAACCTGTCAGCGAAGGACAGTAAAATTACTAGAATATCACAGATGGAATGTTTAAAACTAGCATACAACAATAAAAAGATATCATTTAATAGTCATGAAACGTTACAATATAAAAAAAGGGCTACAGATCGCCAGCATCTGAAGGCAGATCACCATGCTAGGGGACTTACAGTACTTTTGCTACCTGCATGGACCCCAGCCAGATTTACATCATCCCTTCAGCTGTTGGCGATTATTGACCAATTCAGACATATTAAAGAAAACACACATTTTACGATTAAAATTGTGGCGGAAATAAATTACTTCGAATGACGTGGTCAGACGTACCCTCTCTGGGGGACAATCATTTTACATTACTTCAACCCCCTTCGAGGATAAAGCCACTAACAATCTCAGTTATTACAGTTATTCTACCAATTATAAAAAGGTATATTATATACACAACATGTTAATCAAAATTTATGGAAGAATTCAATGTCTTTTAAAAAACCAATAACTAAATGAGAACTGATATTAAAAAGATCCTTAACAGATGAAACATTGAAATAAGTATCCCTTGTGATAGCAAAATCTATACAGTCAAGCAGGATTCTTTCATCACAGGGGATACAGAACGGAGGATCTTCACCTTGTAACAAATACTCATGCGTATACAACACAGCAAAACAACAGTAAAAATGATAGGAACTATCACATGTGTACAACTACCCAATTTATTATTTTAAATTATATTTTCTACTCTGAAACATTGAGAAGATTAATGCAGCAAGTGGTTTAACCAGATCGTCGCACTGCATTAAGAATACGGTTTGGTCGGCAGGAGACATGGTAATAAACGAGGTTGATAAGGGATACTTTCTGCCAAAGATTAAGTCTTAGATCTCTATAACAGTCACACGTTACCATAAAGTGAACTTAATCTTCAACAGTTTGGCCATTACATACGTTACAGACGCGTTCAGAAACAGGAGTTTTCGGAGGTGTACAACGGCCTCTTTCTAATTCTAAAGGTAAAGTTCCACAGTGAAGTTTAGCTAAAGTGCTTCGTCGTGATCTATCCAGAATATGACGTACATAAAATGAAACATTATTACCCTTAGTATGGCCAGTGTCATTCCAAAGTCCATGAAACCAGTTTTCCCTATCATGTTGTATCAATTTTGATTTCAAAATTTGGAAATCTATATTACCAATCTTATACAAAACCAAAAATGGTAAATCCAAAGAACCAAACATTCGTACAACTCTGCTGTCCCAGGACTTTCGGAATGACAGAGACCAATTTCTAATACGAGCTATTAATCTCTGTGGGGGAGCTGAATTCAACTTCTTCCAGAAACATATTTTTTGTGCTTAGTAATAATCGATGACCTCTTACAGCCAAATAAGGAGAAGTTTTTCCTACACCCAAGAAAAAGCGGCAGGCCATATTTTGGATGGCATTTGTGCAACTAAATTCACTGGTTCCCAAAATTGCCGCACCATACGTTAAGATAGGTTGTACAAGATTATCATACAAAGTACTGAAAACATCAAAGGTCATTCCTCCAACTAATTTAAATTTACTTATAATTACACTGAGGGCTCTTCCAGCAGATTTAGCAATTTGTTTACCTGTGAAATTTAAATCTAGGTGTTCCTGGAGCCGAAGTCCCAAATAATTATATGCATTACAAATTTCAATATTCTCTCCCCCATAAAGAAAACACTGACACTAGAACGTGTAACAGACTGCTGTCTATAATGGACAATTTTAGTTTTTTTGGTATTAATTGGAAGACGCCATCGTCTGCACCAATTATCAACACAAAATAGCAATCATTGTAATGAGTGCTCATCACCAGCTATGAGAGCGATTTATCATCCACAACTGGCTCCCACAGGAGATATCGCTTGGAAGACACTGAAGACACTGCTAATTACTGTCTACAAATTGAAAAAGTTGGAAGAATGATGTTGGATGATATAGAGAATCGCACCGTCGTGTCTTTTAATATAAAATATATCAACACGAGTTGATAAAAGTGGCAAGCCTCGGAATTTTTCCACTTTTATCAACTATTTACTAATTCTCTGTCAACTAAAGTTCGTTTCAAGGCGTCAATAGCGGTATTCTGACCGTGGTTGCTGTTAATA